GTACACACAAAGCAGTCAGCAAGAGGTAGAGAGGTACAAGTACTCACTCCACTTAGGTGGTTCGACCCCAACGTCCCATGTTCTTCTCTGTTACAACAGCAGAAATGTCTCAGGCTGCACAAGAACTTCTCTGTATGGGAGAACCCGGACTTTCCTCCCTGGCCCTTTAAATTTGGTTAGTTGATTCCAGTCCAAATGACCTGCAAATCACCTCCCATGTAACTATACCAATAGTATCTTATTTTCTCCACCTGAATAAGAATATGCCAGACTCTTTCTTCAGGAGTAGGAAAGGTATGAATGAGAAAGAACCTGCGTGCTTTTCAAAGAATTCCTGACACATAGGAGGGTATACATACCAGGCATATATCTGAACTCAAATGCTTCCCGAGACTAAAAATTCATCTATATTCCTAACGACATCTGAAACCAGAAGTCAAAACAAGAGGATATGCTACGGGGCAGCTGGGAAAAAAATGTGAGTGAAAGTAAAATTTAGACATGTCCTGACAGATATGTTCATTATCATGCTGCTATACTAATATTTTTTCTCTGAAAGAGAAAAATATCATTAAATTATAAAACGATATGGGCAAGAGACTTTTGTTTTTCTGGAGATAAAGTATAAAAGGCTGATTGTATACTGTTGTCTAAACTTGGATGACTCTGAAACTCAAAGGGGGCAGCTACTAATAATAGTCATGCTGAGACAAATAAAGACCATGGGTGGATGGTAACCTATCCAGCAGCCTCATTCACAAAGATGTAAACCGTTTAAATAAATAAATATGTTCATTCTTTTCCTAAGGGTAAAATGACTGGTGTTTTTACTTCATCAAGAACTGCTATTCTCCCTTTGGAAAAGAAACGGGAGAAAAAAAGATGAATCAGAAGTCAAAAGAATATAACTTACATCTGTAACACATACACACATACACACACATACATACACACACACACACACACACACACACACAGCCCATAATCAACTCTTTACCAGAATAAGGTATACTTATATAGAACACTTAGTTTTCTAAAATTCATCAAGGGACGTTCCCAAATTAGTTTTCTAGTGAATCTGAAGGGTAAAACTACCCTAAAAGTTTTTAGGAACTGAAAACAAAGTTACTCTTAAGTCAGGGATCTACATCCTTGATTAGACAACTACTCACTCCATGGACATGTTTCCTTAATGCTGATACTACAAAAACAACTACAACAAGGTTTGGTAAACAACTTTTTTGTTTTGGGGTTTTTTGCCTTGCACCTGATTTGCTATGGCTAAACTGGCTTGATGTTCGAGTACAAAATTTGTTGTAAAAGAAAATGATAACCCTAGTTTTTAGCATGCTAATAATCTGTTTTTTTTAAGACTCATTAATTTTGAGTCATTTAGAGATAACTTTTCTCATTGAAAAAATAATTTTTGTTATCATTTGCTAAAAATCGCCTATGCACATGTCAGGCACACTACCTATGATCTCAATCTTTATTAGTAATCCTGTAAGTTTATTTATCTGCATTTTATCCTTGAGACAGTCAGCAGCCTGAAGAACATCCAGATAGTTAAGCACCTTAGATCCAACCAAAAATCCCAGCTTTAACTCTAAGTGAATCACAAAGTGGAGATTTTAATAGCCAGGCAATCTCTACAAAACAAAAAAGCTTGAGATTTATATTGCTGAAGGGAATGAGTAGCACTTGCCAATGCTGCATAAAAAGAAAACAGGCTTAGAATCTTGTTTAACACCACATGGTCTTTTGTTATGATCTTATTATGTCTTCACTACCCAACTGAAAAACCAAAATTCTCTGCTCCAGCACACTACCCAAACCACCTTCAAACACACACGCAGAGTTCATTGTGATCTTGTGGATGATATTTCTGTGGAAGAAAACTCCAGTGGTATAATGGTTGGGATATGAAGGCTTCTGATTAATTAAATAGTCTAGAGAGTTTAAGTTCCCAAAAAGTAAAAACTTAACTACAACAAATGAAGTTCCTCTACGGTATGTGATAATTTTTAAGATCTTTCCAGGCCTCAGGTTCATCAAAATAAATAAAAACTATCATGCTATTCCCTCTCTTCCCTAAATTATTGTCATTGGTTTTGCTTTTAATCTTTTGGGGTGGGGGACATGCTATAAAGCAATTCTGTTATTTGATCATAGCTATATAGTCAAAATCAACTCCACTCCCCTGAGCTTCAATAACATTCAATAATACATTTAGACCACTTTACCTATTGTTTTTCTTTTCCTAGATCAAATGACTAAAACCAAAACATTAACTATATGACCTTTTAATGCTAACCCAGTAATGAAGGAACCATTTTCTTCTTTGCTCAATCTTGCTATGTAAAAGTCCCCCAAGGTGAAACCCAAAAGCCCTCTCTCTCCCATCATCACTTAAAGAACTAAGACTATTACCTCTGACAGACCACTATAGGGAGTTTTTTTTTTAAAGGGGAACAAAAACCACATAAACCACAATCATTTTCAACTTTGTGTCAAAGACTCATCTGACTTACGTCAATTTAATTTGTATCTTGACAATTAGGACTATACCAGTTCAAACTTCGTAAGCCTACCAGATGGAAGAGCAGCCTCTGGTTCATTACTGAGGGTCTTCCTCTGGGCCAAGGAATATCATTTCTTCTTCCATGAAGCACATGATTGGATTTTTCCTAGCCTCTCCTGAGTTAGGTGTGGTCATGTTACTGAGTTCTGACCAAGGCAATGTGGGGAGAAATAATGTGATCTCTGTCTAGGCCTGGGCACATGAAAACTTCGCACAGGAGCCTCCACGTTTTTGCCCCCCACGATGACTTAAGGTAGACAAGCACAACTTTGTATGGAATATGGGAGGAAGAGCGACAGAAGGAACTTGGGTTCCTCAATCACCGCTTGGAGGAAAAGTGCCACAAATCAGGGCTACCAGTGAGCAAGAAATAAACGAGCATATTTCAGCCATTATAAATTTAGGGGGTTATTCTAGCAGTTCACATTATGTTAACTAAAGAAGTTCATTGGGCAACTCTAGATCAAGATTAGGCTGACTTGGAATGTATGTTCTAGAATTAGTGACTCAGGCAATTAAAAGACATACCAGATGCAATCTCTAAATATGTACAGTCAAGGTAACACCATGTTTGACCATGACAGAGTAATTTCAGCATGCAGTAAAATTTCTGCTGAGGAGCTGAGGTTGAAGATACTTTTGAACCACTGATTCTTAATTTTCACAGGTAAATATTAGCTGGTATAAACCATTAAACATTTGAGGATCTTCCACATCTCCTTTGTCAAAGGTATCATAATTCATATAAAAATACAACAGTAGCATACCACATGCTAGCAAACCCAACTCTGAATTTACTAAAAACCATTGTTGAAGTAATTTCACAGAGGATATTAAGTGATATAGCAGACAGAGTTCAAGTTGAGTTTCTCCAGACATTTGTTCTCAATAATTTAACACCAAGAAGACCTTTGCTCTCATGTGTGGGAGTCGCATGAGTCCTCCTCCTGGATCATGAGAATGATAAAACATACAGTGCCCTGTCACGACTCAAATTGGCTGCACCTCCACAGCAACATTCATTGTTATTGTTGGCACACTTCTTCCTCCTGGCTTTGACCTCAGTTGGATATGTCCTTCATTGCAAGGTAATGTCAGAGATGAGGTATGAATAAATTCAATCCATTAAGGAAGGAAATTAATACTCATTATGTACCTATGACATGCCAGGTACTTCCACACAATTCCATTTAATCTTTGCATAAATGAGGTATATTCCATAATTTTCCATTTTACAAATGAGAAAAGAGGAAAGTTAATTAAAAAAAAAAAACTTGCTCAAGGCTGCACACCAAGATAAGCAAGATTCAAGTCTAAGACATCTGACTCCAAAACTTATTTTCCTTTTCAAAATGCTGCATTTGACCTACGACATCCTTTAGGCTATGAAAAAAAAATAGGATTCACTCAATTTTGATTTCCTTTTAAGATTCGTTTAGTGAATCAATAGTTCTCAAAATTTCCATCCTTGCACTTATAGATTATCATGTTTCCACAAAACAAAAGCCCGCACTATCCCCCTCACCAAGGAGTAGGCTACAAGCAGCCACATGGAGAATTCAGAGGACAAACCCAAGAGAGGAGGAGGCCTGGTCTTGCATCATCTGGATTTATCGCTGCCTCCCTCAGAAAACAGTTCTTTCTACCTGTGAAGTTTTAGAATTTTTTTCACCAATTCTTATGCTTTCCAAAACCTTATTTTGAAAAACGCTACATTTCTAAGTTCAGTAAAACAGGCATATGTCAAGGAACTTGAAACACAAAGGACAGTCAAACTTCCTTAGTAGTACAACGTTTTCACCCCACAACATCTAAAATGGCCCCATGCAGGACTGGAAAATCAATTATACTTTTCTTTCCCACTTAAAGAACTGAGTGAAGATCAAGGTCAATGTATAATGTTGTATTACAACTACTATTTTTTTAAGTATTTACTTACCTAGAATCCTTAAGTCAAATGTAGATAAACTGCTCACTAATCAGCATTATCAAGTCTCAGCAGCAGTTTTTAAAAACAGCATTAAAGTAAACCACATTTAATAACCAAAATATCAAGACTAATATTCTTAGGTTGGCATGAGTTCTAATCATAAACCATGTTAAAATTACATGATTAACAGTTATCATTATAAGTTAGTAAGAAATGCGCTTTTGATGACAAATTTTTACTCACAAATACTCTTTCTTGTTGGAAAGGCAATTTCAACATCAAACACTTTTATCAAAAAATAATTTCTATAGGTGGCATTTAAGATGATAAAACTATCAAAGCCAGGTTCTTTTGATTGCAAAGGTCAATCCATTTCTCCTTCCTTTGAAAACCTGCTGTGCTATTTACTGAAGTCCTTCACATAACACTGCTCATGTCTCAGTCAAGTGCTGCATCATGGAAAATCGTGTTTTTATTTTTAAGCCTTACCTTCAGATAGGATCCATAATATTTGGTTACATATGGGCTGTCACACTGACTCAGCACTGTGATTTCTTGTTGAATGTCCTCTATCTCATCTTCAGCTTCTTCCAGATCAATGATTTTTATGGCAACCACTTTCTGAGTCCGATTGTCAATGCCTTTAAATACCTCACCAAAAGAGCCCTTTCCAATTTTCTCCAGTTTTGTAAAAAGCTCTTCTGGATCTGCTTTTAGATTCTGTAGGAGAGAAAAAAAGGAGGAACTTCAATAGTTCACAATACTGGAACTGCATTTTTCCTTGTATTTATAACGTACAGACCACAGCCTTTCAACAACTGATCCACCTTCCTCAGTTAAGAATCAGGCTGGTTGTGACCATGGTTTTTTACATTCAGGACTTAAAGATTTCTAAGTCTCACCTACAGGTGAGCATTAGACTGAGAAACACAGCAAGTGTGCAAACTATTAAGCAGATTATAAAAACTGGGAAAGGCTCCAGCATTCGTATAATTAAAGTAAATAAAAATCAAAACACTTATTTAATTGTTATACAATTTATTGAAAAATCAGCCTTGTCTAAGCAAAATTCCCACTTTTCTCCCCACCCTCCCCCTAAATTTTCCAAATTCAGGTTGGTACATATTAAAACATAACTAGCCATATCATGTCACAGGGAATAAAGGTATAGGGAAGGAAAGGAGAAGAACTGAAAAGGATTCCAGAATAACAATAGGCACGAACCACTAACTTGCTTTCCAAGGTGAAACACACGGAGTCCTAAACAGTGCTTTACAAGAGAACTGCTAACGCCCAGCCAGCCCATTTGCAGTGTGGAGGTCATGGGGAGCCGCAGTTTGAACAGAGTAGACAGTAGTAATGGATGGGCAGCTCACTGACACCACAGAGGCCCCATGTTGAGACTGAATAATATAAAAGCTTACAAAACCCACCAACCCTATCAATCAGTAAAAAGTAAATGAGAAATGTACTCTGGGATTACCAAGAAACAGGGACACGAGAGAAACCACGTCTATTTTCAGCAGCTACAAACTCCTGTTTTCATACCCTTTCTCTTACCTCCTTCCCTCCAGGATGAGTGAGGGCGGCCCTCCTTTTCTTCAAGGCCAATCCTAAAACGTGGACTTTTGAATCCATCCTTCTCTCCACCAGGATGTGGCCTCAGCAATAACCCTCTTGCAGTTACCCCTCTCTACTGCCTCTCTGCCCTGAGCAGCATACTCAGGTTTCTCCCATTTAAAATTAAAATTTAAAAAAACACATCGCTTCACCAACTGCCCTCCCTCCTTCTCTCCTCCCTGTGAAGTTCCCTGAAAGTCATCCAGATCTGCCCAGTGCCCCACCCTCTCGCTGGTCACCACCGCAGTCTGGCTCCAGCTCTGGCCACCAATGATGCGGTGTCGTGCTCTAGCAACTCTCCAGTCCCTTGGCATCTACAACCCCGCTCTCCACTCATTTTCTTCTTAGTTCAGAAAATTCTTCACAGACTCTACCTACATCATCCCATGTTCATAGGCATCCCCGCAAGGTTCCAGACTTGGCCTATTCTTTCTCTACTCCTTCTCCCCAAAGCTGTCAGACAGTTTCATGATCTGGGACCATGTTCCCCACTCTGGCTGGTCAGAATCACCTGGGACACTCAGAGATCTCAAACACTCACTGACATAGGGGATGGATGGAGTGCATAAACCACATTTTTAAAAGACCCCAACTGATTCTGATGAATAACAGCCTTTGAGGAAAACCGATTTTGAATTATCATGTACAAGGAGACTTTCAAATTACTAGCTCCAGCCCTGCCTTTTGAGTTTTAACTTCTAGAATCAATTACTTGATAGATACCTCTTCCTACCAGGACAT